TGAACAACGCTGCATAAATCGTACGTAATGTTCACGACCATACATGCATATGTGCAATCACGCAACAATAGCAAATGAAACCGCAAGAATTGTTGAAATTATACTTGTCAAACCTTTATATAGAAAATCATATTTAGGTTACTAATAACTCGAAAAAGAAAATGAAATAAAATTTAATTTCAAGGTGATCGTGTGCCCCCTCGTCTATTTTTTGAAGAATGTGTGATTAAAAAGTAAAGAAAAGTTTTGAATTTATGTATAAAATATTTTATTGTGTGAACATTTGTTTAAAAATAAGTAAAAAAAATAAATTAAAGGATGTCCAACACGGGGTAAACAAACATTCCATAATATTATACTTTTAATTATTGTTTTAGGTTAGATTTTTATTCTCGAATGGGGAGTGTGTCCTATAACCCAGCTATTGAAATTGTTCTCGGTGGGTAGGATAAAATTGTCAACTTGTTGATATAACAGAAGAATCTTACTTACGGTTCTTCGTAAATAAGCAAGATAAGACTTTCATAAATAGGCAAGATAAGACTTCTCATTGTTTGCAGTAAAACATTAGACATATCCATTATTTTTTTTATAGCATGGACTACCTGCACATGATTTTTTTTCCAAAGGCTCCCCAACCAAAAAACCAATGGCTGAGCCGACCAAAAATATGGCCTGTGAGCCAACCAATTAAATCTGGCCTGAGAACAGTACATGACAACTTTTAGAAAACGCACTTGGTGTACAGGGATTTTTACCATGAATTTTACATATACACATTTGGCTGATTCTCATTGACGGTTGAAAAAAAAAAAAAAGAAATTGTCAATACAAGACTGCCATTTTAGCCTCGTAAACGGTCACATGCCAATTTACCCCGTACAAGGGCAAAATCCTACTTTTTAGTTAGAGGAAAATGCCGGATGTACCGAATGGGGGTACCGAATGGTGTACCCCCCTCACAATGTGTGCGGGGCCCGTATGTGTTTAAAAATGGCGGCTCGTGGTCCCCACCTCCTAATGTGAGTGGAGTGTAAAAGATTATGTAAAAAAATTATGTACATGTAGCATAACCCTTCACACAAGTATGCTCGATATGCAGAACCTTACTTCTGAATGTTAATGATCTATAACTACCATATGTGAAGGTTGGGGAGCTCAACTTGTATTTTCTTTCTTCTTTAATTTTTGGTTAAAAATAAAAGTTTACTTATAAGTAAATAAGTAGGTTTTAAAATAAGTTATTCTTCTCAAAGAGGAAGTGGTTTGATGAGGTACATGAAGAAAATGAAGATGCTATGAAACTAATTCAACTCGACCTCACATTATTTGATGAAAAAGCGATCTCATGGAAGTTTAATTTCCGCGAATTTGGTGTCGATAAAGATCTCCAAAACTCAGATTCTATCGCATTGCTCAAGCGCCAAGACATTGATTTCTCAAAGAACAAGCAAGCGAGAATATGTTCCTTTCACTTTGCCAAGTTGTTTGTGGCATCTGAACTTTCGATGGCCCTGACATGGCTAAACCAAAATCCGACATTGGTATGATTATAGATTCTTGGTAAAAAAAATTTGTCCCAACAAAATTTGCCACATGATCTATTGGATTTCATGAAATTCGTAAAGGTGTTCGATATGAAGCAGATAATGAGAATTCATCGGGTTAACGGCGGCCATGATCGGGTCGCAGAGTTTGAATGTCGGGTTATGAGTCTTTCTTCATAGTCGTTGATTTTCGTATAGTCAAATATTAAATCATCATAGTATTAGGAACTTGTTTTTGTCTAAGATTTTCTTCATAGTTCTTGGTTTTATCTTTTTCTCATGCATTTGCTAATCTTAAATTCTCAACTAAATTTACGAAAACCCGAGTTAAAATCCCATGTGTTGAATTCGATAAACACATTTAATTTCTAAATAAGTAACTTTTAAGCACAACCAAACATCATGTTTCCATAGTTGAAGATGAACAAAGACAACAAATACACAGCCTCCGACACTTGTCTAACTATTTAGTTATACGGGACCAATGATTACAACGTGAGTGACTCGAAAATGAAATTAAAGAAGTTAACACGGAGCAAAACTATGCATAAAATATAAAGAATCATGTAACTAGGAGCAGCACGCATGGTTAAAGATCGACGAGATCAAAAATAGTCGACAGTGCACGGACCTGTGAACTAAACAGGCACTGTCATCGGAAAGATGTCCTTGCAGGAGAAATTGTAGTGCATTTATGGATTGATGTTGCACTCTCGCAAATATAGGTGATTGTAGTCGACATATTTTGCCCAATAGTTTCGAAATTTTGATATGCTGATCTCGAGCCATGGTTTCAAGTTGCCATTGTAATGTATGACGGCTGCCCGCTCGATTTCCTTGTGAGGCACATTTGGATTATAACCAAGCCCCAAGACGTGCCAAGATTTATCAAGAGTGAAAGTATGATTCCAAAAGGTTATCAAACCAGGTGGCAGAGTTCCCAATTTCCATAAATGTCTGTCGCAATTCTGACGACAAAAAATCGATAAAATTAGGGCTGGAAACACAAAAACATCATAGTAATGTTTACACACGAAACAAATATATTTCTCTTACCAGATTTTGCCATCTGTGGTACACGTCCGTGATATTCTGCTTCCTCCACTCCTTCAGATCAAAAATATTCATTCCAAATGCCCAACCACAAGCATGAGGATCAAAAGTTTTCGAAATAAGAGGATTTGAAAAGTTGAGGTAACGATCAAAGCGATGAAAGCTTTCTCTACACGTCTCAACCACCCCAATCACCTTCCCCTTTAGATCAAGTGACCAAAGAGCCGTGAGATCCTTTTGGACGACAATATCATCATCTAAGAACAATACCTTGTTGAGCTTCGGAAAGATCTGTGGGAGGTAAAAACGGAGATGATTCATGATAGAGAGGTACTTGGGATTTCTGAATTTCAAGTTCGGATCGGATTCAACACGACGACTCTTGAAGTAATAATCAATCATGGACGAAGAACCCAACTGTTTAAGAACTGGACTGTAACTCGAATTCAACCATGTAAATTCCTCAACATTCTGAACCTGTATTGTAGCTTTGCCCGGTGGATTTTCCAAAAACCACATCTTCATTGCAGCGTAGTTGAGCCTGTCAGTGACGATGTGGAACACATGATTTGAAGGATCCTGCTCAGGTTCACGCAAGAATTTAACATCAAATTTTGGAAACATTAAACTTGAACTGGAACATAATCAAAACAAGATCTATATGCTTCTTCAACCTTCAAATGAGTCAACTGAAAACTTAAAAGTGAAAATTTCCAAATTAAGCAGTCCTTTTACCTTTGCATGAGTTATTGTCGAGTTTACGACAACTGCTGCCGCCAATATATTATCTGAAAATAGGGCATAATGGTATAGCTTGGGATGTAATAATTTTTCTTCATTCGGAAAATGCCGTCGAGAAGAATTTAACATGAAAAACTCTGTTGATAGGCGCAAAGGAAGACAGTGAAGTCCTTTAGGAACTGTTTTGGCAGTTAAATGCGTCAAAAACAAGGTCTGCTTCTTGTGAGCTTGGAGTTGCTCTTCGGACGAATGAAGCATTGCACGTAGCTTCTTTACCACAGCAGCACAATCATCTAGTATTTGCTTCCCTTTCGCCAAAGTTTGCTCCATTGCTTTTAACCTCTCGTTGGCACTATAATTATAGAGCACGACAAGTGTTAATTTACAATAACAAAAGAAAGAAGACGTGGATTACATCATTTCATGAAACTCCAAAGAAACGAAAGGAAAAGATTAATGAACCTCAATAAGACTTACTTTTTTGGTAGCTCGGAATCCTTGGTGGCATCCCCAATTGCTCGTAGGACTTCCTTCATACGCAAACGGAGCTCTCTTATAAAATGGGGATTGTTTCGAGTGGCAGCTAGGGAAAGATAAACCTTTGCTCTAATGAGCTGATCCTTAAGATGACGAACACGTGCATCCAGTAAAACGGTTGGTTCATTCTCTTTTTCAGTCGTAGTCTTCCCTCGTTCTCTTCTACTATCTTTGGTAGACCTTCGGGAAGAATGTTGCACGTGTTTTACTTCCTAACAAAAACCCCATAAAACAAAGAGAAAAAAAGCAACTTCAGATGGTAGTCAAAGTCTACTTCACATCTAGTAAATAAAAACAAACTATAAGAGCGGAAATCTAAGAAGCCAACCTACAAAAAAAAGGCTATAACAAAAACTACTACTATATACCAACCATGGTTTCAATTATTAATTTATTGTAAAATACAGACATAAGAATTAACAAACCCACTTTAAATAATCAATGAAGACCCCGAGTTTACAGGGAACAAGGTTAGTTGTGGTTCCTCGAGAGTCGAGAGTTTTCAATACCAGAGTTTATAATGGTTTAACTAAATAATGGGTTATAACCCAGCCTCCAACAACCACCCCCTCTTTCCTCTTTTTTTTCTCTCCCTTTCTACACAAAACATAAGTAAAAGTAAGTGCTTGTTTGATACAAATTATTTCTGAATGAATTTTAGAATAGTAGATTGATAGAGAATTGTGTGGTTAAAAAATAAAGAAAAGTTTTGAATTTGCGTGTAATATTATTTTATTGAAAAATGTGTGGTTGAAAAGAAAAGAAAAAAAAATGAATTTGAGAAATAATGTGTATCAAACACGGGCTAAATATAAGTCCCAAATCTTAAAATGAAGGAAATATGAATTTGGAACAATAAGCATTAATATGAAAGCAGAAAAAATCAGAGAAACAAAATAACTAGATATAATTAAACCTTTCCTCCAGAGGAATTGCCCAATATGTGCTCGGAATTTTGTGAATTATTTTCTTTCTCGGGATCAATTTTTGCTCCATCACTTCCCTTTCCCCCAACTAATTCATTTTTCTTCGAACTTCCTCTATCAGTCCGAGCTTCATGCACCGTGTCAGTCACCAGTTGTATCGGATTCCTGTCCACAGCTTGCTTGTTGCCATCACTGGTGCTCAATGATTCTAGCAAATGCCGATATCATTATTAGATGGCATTTTAAAAGTTAATGAAATATGACAAAAAAATCGACTAAATTCAATTCCAAGACAATGGTTTAAATGGGAACCTTCAGTGAGTTGTCTTGTGATCCGCGAATTATCCCGGATCGAATCATCAGAATAATTTAAGACAGACTGAATTGAATTATCAGAATAAATATTCCCCAATGGTTCTTTCAGTATTGCAGATGACTCCTATGAAAACGCACAGAAATTACAACAAATCAGAAGAGTAAAGATCTGAAATTTCCATTAAACAAAAAATTCCCAGAAAATAAAAAGAAAAGGAAAATCAAGAATCCAAACCTGAGGTAGTATATTTAAATGACTGATTTCACCACCAAATGTCTGCAATAGAAGATCCAATAATTCAAGAATAGAAAAAAAATAAAATCTTTACCCATCCAAACAAGGGAAAAAAATCAGAACTTACAAAGGATGAAACTTCTTCAAGAAATTCATTCCTAGCTGCAAGAAAAACAGAAATCAAACGGATCTCTTAACATAATTAAGAGGAAAATTGAGAAGAAAAAGAAGATGAAAAGGGAGATTACAAGAAGGTGAAGTGTAATAGGTTCCAAGATTATTAGTGTAAAGAACAATAGAAGCAAGAACCGCAGTCATCAGCAAGAAAAGAACTGATTTTCTCAGCTTCATCTTCATCTTTCAATCTTCAAGGTCGAAAATTAAACATACAGACACATCTGCAACATGAAATTGAAGATACCCAGAAAAAAAAATGAAACAAATCGATCAAAATCAAGCTTTAATCCAAGATTCGATTCTAGAAATGTAAACTAAATAGAACCCAGTAAATTGGGTGAATTATGAGGTAATGGAGTGTATATCTGTAAGAAAAATCTTTCTAATATTTACAGCAATGAACAGCTTGGAAAAAGTGGGCAAAAAAATCAACAGAAACAACGATTTTTTCAAAACTTTGAGTCGAAGAAATCTTGTAAAAGGAATAATCAAGAAGAAAAAGAGCGGAAATCTGATTAAAAGGTTGGAGAAAGGACAGAGAAGAAGGGTTACATGCTTTTGCTGTCACTGTGCGTGTTTTGATCTCTGTAAACTTGTAATCAAACTTTGGAAAAAATTATACAAGATCATTTTATGAGTTTCTGCAAAATTACTTGTGATGATAAGGACCGTTAAACGCGGAAATAATGTTGGCTACAGGGCAAGATTCTTTTACCTTTTCTTGGCCTTCTTTGACTTACATCTTCATTTATCGATTTACTTTAGCATACATTTCTTTTTGGCAAGTCATGTGAGAATTAAAATCAATTTTTTAGCTAATATAAATGGTTTAAACTATAAATAGAAAAAAAAATGTTTAATGAATGAATAGGTTGAGGGTTTATAAACAATTTATAAACATAAACTAAAGATAAGTTAGTTAATTTTTTTATTGCGATCATTATAATAGTCACTTCTTGTAAAAATAGATTAAGTGGCAAGCCCTCTTCTTGCAATGTAATTGATGGTCTATTCAGAGGGTTTGAAGTTTTAGAATGTATTTTGTTGTCGATATCAATCCAAACTCCTCTTCATTGGGGAGAGGGGAGGCGATTCACAATTTTTACTCCATTCATCTACACGAGGAAATAACAATTAATCTTGACCAATACGCATATCTTACATTTAGTGTAGCATGATATGAAAAGTGAACGTAAGAGACAATGTCAAATAGAATTTGTTGACCCGAAAAAATGAATTCAACAGATGTTAGGTCTACTCTCGTCACGTCGAGTATGAATCCAGTACCTTTTTTTACCGGAATAGGAATGGTAATCTAACTGTAATGAATATGGGAGACACTTTCCGGTAAGAGACAAAAATGTTAAGGCTCCGGCGATTTGATTATAGGACAATCACGCTATCAATGATCTCCTTTAAACAAAATGATAATGAAATATGTGGAAGGATAGATATGATGAATAGATGAGTTCTCTCCTTTTTGTATGGGTTCAAGTGTTTATATAAATATGTGTTTGTCTCTTTTTTGCCTCCATCCATTGTCCCCTTCTTTTACACAGAGTGGCTATTTATAATGTTCTAGCCGACTTGATGATCGTTGGATCAGATCCACGTGGCGACATCCCCTAAATCGAAGCTTCACATCACTGTCCACTCATTACATTTAATGTTTGACAAAAAGTCAGCCGTTCTAGTAGTAGGCTGACATTGATTAAAACTACAGACACTTTATTGCAGACGTCACATCAATCAATCCCAAAAGATCTCCGAATCTGTTGTGATGCAGCGTCGACTTCGTGAGCTTCAGACGAGCCTAAAAGAGCCTCGGATTGGGCTGTGTCTCATCTTTGAAGAGGTGCTTCAGGGTAAGGTTTGTTAGTGTGACAGCTTCTGATGCTAGGTTAAGGATCTCGACCTATTGCCTCACTGGAACTTCTGACTTGTTGGGCCTCCTCTTGACATCTCGTAGACTGTTCTGCCTACATGGCGTGCCACGTGGCTTCGCCTCTTTAGACATCGAAATCGAGGGGTAACAGAACTAAGAGTCTAAAGACATATATTAAAGATAAACAAGAGGTATAACACCGCTTCTACTCCCCATTCGATAGAGTTATAACCCAATACTCTCAAATATATATTGAACAAATCTTTCTAAGCCTATTCGAGATTTTTTCGCACCTAACTTGTCTAATGATAACTTCTTCAGATTTGCATGAAACTATCTATGGATAATGGTCCCTCACGTACCAATGAACCCTTCCAATGATTTCATATTTTTTCTAAATGCAATTCATAGCAGCAAAAAATATTTATTTTCTCACTTATCTTATTTTTACATTGGTTGAAAACCATGATTTTCTTCTGAATTTTTTAATATTTTACTGTGATGGAAAGCACTAATAATAATTTAAAAGCTTGTTAGACTTTCAAGAAAAAAAACGAAAAAAAGGAAAAGATTAAAAGTCTTCAAATGAGTTCCAATGACTTTTATTTCGAGCTTTATTAAATAAAATTATTCATTAGTATAAAGAAAAAATAAAGGTGAAAATATATGAGTTCTTAAAATTTTGAGCCTTGTCAAAATACATGGTCTTAAGCAATCTTTTAAGTAACCTTACGTTTAAGTCGGTTCTCACACACCTCAAACAAAGAACTTACGCAAAAATATTCAAAATCAATAGGTACAAAGAAAATTTCAAACTACGAGGACAATAAATCAATAGAAAATACAAAAAATAAGCAACATGAATACATGGATTCTTGTAATTAGATATAATGCAATGCCAATTCAAATATGAATATCTAAACTTTGTTCAACCCAACATCAAGAGGCTGATCAATCACAGAGCTCCAAGTGCAATCCACTGAATCAAGATCATCAGCAACTTTGAATTGCCATAAATCATCATCAAACTTGTTCTCATCAACAAATTTTTGATCTGACAAATTCTGAACACAAAATTGATCAAAATCTGGTGTTGAAGTGGAGGGAAATTCATCAAGATATGAACAAGAAGGTGCAAATGCATCTTCCAATTCAAAATTTTCATCCCCCTTAAAGATTTTCACACCCTCTTTGAGCCAAGGGAAATAAAAAACTCCAGTCTCATCAAAATATTCACAGTCCTCCTTTTTATCATAATCAAACTCATCGAATTCGGGTTTCTTCTCTTGATGTGTTTCTTTCTTTTCTTCGTCTTCTACTTCTTTTCTAGCTCTTTTCTTGTTTCCCCTTCATATTGCTGAACAGACACCAAAAATTGAAACAACTTTAAATGAACAATTCGATCTGTATGAGCTCAAATGAACAATCCGACCCAAAACAAATTACCTGTTGTTGCTGTGTCAACTTTTCTGGAATTTGGGTCACACAAATAAGTGATTTAAAGTAAATTAGAAGTTGAATACAAATGGACAGCCACTCATGCGTTTAAACGAGCAGATTTAGGACCCTCTCTTTGCATCTCCTTTTATCTCTCTAATTCTGTGGGTATAGTATTTTGTGCAGCATATACAGTATGGGTTTTGGTTTGGCATCCTATTTTTAGGCTTCTTTCATTCTAAATTGCAAAATCCCATTCAGTATCTTTGCAAAGGCCATAAAAGATGCCAATTTTCTGTTATGTTCTTCCTGGAAATATGATTGGACTTTTGCCACACTTTGTTTTCTAAATATTGTTTTTCATTTTTTTGAAACTTGAGATTAGACGAAGCAATCGGTAATGATTCACGAATTCTTTTTCTTCTCCATAAATTTTACCTTTCAAAGTTAAATATTACTTTTAATTTCACATTTCGTAGGGCCCACAAATACTGCTGCTTATCAACCGTTCATTTTTTGAAAAGTAGATTTCAGCAACAAAAAAAATGAAAGAGGCTCAAATACAAGTATATGATGTCATTTCCCGGTGCACCCAACTTGGCATAACGTATGCATTTTACTCAAACTGACATTTCCTTGTACCTCCAGTGATGAAGGTATCTTAATCTATCGTCTAACGTACAGTAAAATGGATGGGAAATGCAGAAAGATTGAATGACATTACATGCATAATGTTACAATACTGAGTTTGTAGAATGAATATGAAATGTTTGTTCATCAATTCTTGCTAAAAAATATCCACTGCAGCAAGGAGACCTTGAGAATAAGAACCATTGCTGCTACCAGACGACGAGTCTGGGATTGGACAGTAACCAACTTGGATTCCATTACACTGCAAGTTTTTGTATAATTTTTGCAGCCGTTTTTATAAATTCCTGCAAATATTTTTTTGTTAATGGAAATTGGAAAAGAGATGCAAATAGTGATGAATATTAAATATCTAACTGCTTCACGTCTCCTCAATTTTCCCTACCTTAGGACAGTTTATTGTTGCCGTTTACAGAGGTTTCCATTCAGAGCAACTACACCCCATAAGCGGGACCGAGCATGTTGCTGCCAGAGGCAGAAACCCGTATTTCTTCTAATTGTTCCAGAGCAGAACTGGCTGTTCACAGAGACTATGACAGATGAGCTGAAATGCATGCAACATCCAAAGAAAAACCCACATCCACCTCAGTAACAATATCACAACTTCTTTAACATTTTTTCTTTAAATTATGAATGGTGGAACCAGTGCTGATTGAAACAACAATTTTAGTCTTCTGAAGAATTTTGTGATAATTCCTTGTCCACAGAAAATTTACAACATAAATATAAATGATTAAATTCAAAGAATACACATGTAATCGAAAAAATATTGAAAACTAATAAAATTACCAGTATCGCCGATGATATACTTAAAAAGGTATGCTTTCTCCAATTAAAACTTCTGGAACAAGGAAAAGTGGAAAATTTCAAACAAAAATTGCAACTCGAACAAGATACGAATGTCGAAGATGATAAAAATGGAGTTATGATTGGTTAAAAGGGGATGGAGTCCAATAAATTCCAGTAATAGCCAATGAATCAAAATTTTCATTCATGAGAAGTACACAACGAGGTATGTTGTCAACTTAACTTGGCATGAGATCCAACTTGAGCTGGGGTTAAATTATCTAGGACTAACCGTAAAATTTTTATAATCATATTAACTATCTCATCTATCCTTTCTCGTTTTATCATTTCATTAGTGTCGTGTCATACAAAACAATGGATGAATAAAAAAATTTCACTCACAAGAGGGACCTGCACG